TGTCATTGGCTTGTTTAGTTTACACTCGAAGGTGATTGGGCTCTCGGGCGAGATCCCAATTCGTCAGTCACGACTGACGTAACGTCGAACGTGACTGACTGAAAGGGAACTGCATTAGTCAAACGTCTGGAGTAAACATGTCTCCTTTCAACACGTCCACCACACACCCGATGAGATCGAATCAAGATGCAGGATAATTGCGCAGAATGCGATAAAGGGAAACATCTGCACCTCATACTCGTAACTCTTGTAGACTTAAAACTTTATAAGTATTGAATAATTTAGTCATTGAAATTTATATTGTAAGTGCATATACTTTCATTAAAAATATTTAGTTTTATTTCAGTAATTATTAAAAATGTAAGTCCAAACCTATATGACTTGCTTTTTTTTTTGCTTTTTTAACTATTTATTTTATTGACACATTTCATGATTTATTTATTTTTTAATATATGTATTTGTTTTAATGGCATTTTAATTATTTATTTTTGGGCATTTATTTATTGACACATTTTGTATTAATTATTTGTTTACTGACATTTATTTAGTCATTTATTTATTTACATTTTATGGACACTTTTAATTTATTTAAATATTTATTATTTTTTTATTTTTAATTATTTACTGACATTTATGTGTATTTATTTATTTTTTATTTATTAGAAACTTTTAATCAAAAATGTATTTATTATGGCACTCAGAATCCTCCATAGGCATTTGACACTGATATCTTAAAGGCACAGTACAGCAAAAATCAGCCTGTTTGATTCAGCGGGTCAGAGAGAGGCCGTAAAATGCTCATGAAAACTAAATTGTGGAAATAGGTGGAAAATAAAAGACGTGTTTTTGCACACTTTTTTGCCAACCATAGAGCAGCTTTCAGTAATTTGGCTAATTTGACTTAATGCGCAGTTATCTGGTCTTCCTGTGAATTCAGCTCAATCTGAATCGTCCAGAACAGAGCACACATTTTGTGAGACTGAGCATTACTGATGGCTTCTGCATGGAATGATCTCATGCGTTGTGTGTGTGTTTGTGTGTGTGTGTGTGTGTGCGTGTGTGTGTGTGTGTGTGTGTGTGTGTGTGTGTGTGTGTGTGTGTGTGTGTGTTTAGAG